AAAAGGCTTAAAGTAACTTTTGATTTATAGCTACTCCCTTATAAAATCTATCCCCCTTTTTTTTGTTTTTTTTTTTTTTTTTCCTTTTTGTCTTTTTTCGTGTCTGGCAATGGATCGCAACCCTCAGTGTCGCGCCCGCACCGGACCGGGACCGGCAACAGGATCGCAACCCTCGGCGTTGCTCCCACGCCTCGCTCAGCCAGTGAGCGGGAACCGGTCCGCATGTGGGATCCGAACCCTCGGCAGGAGCGCCTGCCGCGCTTCCCAAGCAGCGCACTGTAGCAGTGCGCCACCGGGCCAGCCCGTAAATCTATCACACTCTTTTAAATTGCTTTGGTGACTATATAATGCATTTCTTTATTCTGAATATGAGGATAATAATTCCTCAGACCTTAAAAAGTCTAAGCTTACAACCATTCATGGTCTGTCCCTACCACAATTTTCAAAGCTCTCCCATCTTCACAACCGCAACCAGGTATAAATAATTCTCTTAATTTTATGCACCTCTTATTGAACATTATGTTCTTTTTACATTACTCATTATAAAAATGAGCACATTAGTAAACAGAATATCACTAAATGTTTCTGTATTGTTCACAATTATACTCTGATTCAATGTAATCAACTTTAAACCTTGATTCTCAAGTACTCTGACATAGCCCCTTACCTCAAGTTTCACAATGAACCTAAGGGTTATATGAAGAAAAACATGGCAACAGCCTCTATTCATACTGCAGCTTTCTAACTCAAGGTTATTTAGGTTACTTAAGGACCTCTTATACTCCCTTTGCCAGAAGGAATTTTGATAGATGGTATAAATAAGGCAGTTTGCCTACTTAAACCTACAATCCTCAGTTTATCAGCATTTCAGATGACTAAGGGAAGGTTCCCTAAACTCTAATGCCTGCAAGGAAACAGAGGTAACAATTAGGTAAAGCTACCATTTATGAGTGCGACTGATGACTGCCCTCTCCTAAAGCTACCTCAATTCAAATTTTGTATAAAACACCGGGCTGATCAAAACAGAGATCATCAAACACAACTTCAGAGTACCAAAGAAAAAGAGGATGGGTAAGACGCCATGAGTCAATGACACACTGAGATGACTTTGGGAACCCATGGTGTAGGGCAGGGACCAGCAAGCTTTTTCTGTAAAGAGCCAGAAAGCAATATCTAAGCTCTGCAAACTACATGGCCTCTGATACAACTACTCAACCCTGCCTCTGTAGTATGATAGCAGTCAGATAATATGGAAACAAATGTGTGTGGCTGTCTTCCAATAAAACTTACTTACAAAAACTTTATTTACAGTCCCACAGGCCACAGTTTGCCAACCCATGATGTAGGGCATCAAGCTAAATGTGTATTGACTCTAGAATAGCACCAGATTTTTTTCTTTTTTTTGGCTAAATTCCTGGTGTTGCCTTTATTTATTTATTTTCTTTAACCTATAACAGCAGGATGCTGGGGGAAAACATTTCTTTAAATTAGCTAATGACTTTAATAATGTTTATAAAGAAAGAGACATGACGGTACATCAATACAAAAGAAAAGCAGTTACAAATTCTAGATAAAGGTAGAAGAGCTGCACACAAAACAGTTTACAAAGTAGAATATTTGAATTTAAATCCACCTGGTAAAAGAAGTTAATATAGTATGAATAAAGATTTAGCTATGAGAATTTTCATTAAAAATATTTTTAGAATAGTGAAAAACAGAATAGCCTCTATGTGTTACTAAAAAACTAGTTAAACAAATGATGGTACATCCATACAATGTAACCATTTAATTGAACAGAAAATATTTATTGATAAAAAAGATGTTTTTGATTAGGTGATTTTTTAAAAGCAGATTACAAAATTGAATTATCCCATTTTTGTGAAAATAAATATACACATACAAAAATAAGCATATATAAAACCACCTGCAAAGATACACCAAGATATTTACAGTGGTTATCAGGAATGGTGAAATTATGGTGATTTTATCTTCTAGCTTACCTGTAATTTCTAATTTTTCTAGAAACATGTATTGATTTGGTAATAAAAAATTATTTTTAAAACCAAACAACTAAAACAGGTGCAGCATTATTTAGGTCAATATTTTCAAAATAAACTCTCAAAGTATAGGAGTTACATCAGTTCTTCGAACTTCAAATAGTTATTTCTCCTCAGTCCACAAAGTTAAAAAAAAAGTTAAAGGTTAAGAAAATTTTGGAATTACTCAAAAAGAACTGTATATAATAGGGTTAAGTTAATAAAAGCCCTCAAATAGGGAGTTACTACAGGAAGTCTGCACCATTTAGCAAACCTCCACCACCTGAACAATCAAGGAATGTTTAAGACTCTAATCTAATTTATCTACTTTAGATACTGCCTCTGACATTACCACAGGGGTTGTTCAAGGTTTGAAAGGAAAAAGTAACTATCATTATTCATTCCACTGAAGAGAGGATCTTCAATCACCAACTTTGGGGGAAAAGGAAGAAGAGGGGGAAAAGTCACACTACAATGTGATGGATCTCAAAATTCCATGAGAATTCCATATTCGGGGTCCAAACACATCTGTAAGAGACTCAAAGGTCAATTAGTTGTTATTATGGCAAATGCTAACTCAATCCTAGATGAGCTACTGCTAATAGCCAGTATAATTCTGGACCACCTACTTAGCCTATCAATAAAATAAAATTCAAATAATACTTCAATAAAAACTATTTTCCAAATGATTCTATAAATAGCAATCACAAAACAACACTGTGGCAGAAAACACAAAAATATTACAATTACACTTAAATAAAACTGCGCCTAGACAAGGACTCAAACAAAAAGTAAATAATTTTCCAGGGTGGTAGATCTATGAGGAGTTTTAATTCCCTTATCATTATATAATATATAAGAAAAAAATTTTAAAGTATAAAATGCAGTCACTTACCAAATATAATTTATCCCTGGACTAGCCAATTCTTTTCAACTAGGCACATAAAGCATAGTCTCAAAAACACGCACATTTATAAATCACCCGGCACCTGTACAATTACTTTACTACTGTACTAGTCATCCAATATCGAACAAGATGAGATTTTGAAAACTCACCATTCAGGCCCAAAGTTCAGAGTCTGTGTTTCCGCTGCCATTCTTTTCCGTATTTTTACAATAGATTTTTATGTGTGGAGAAACCTATTGAAGAGAAAAATATCTCCATACAATTAGTCAAGATTAAATGCAGAATTCCAAGCCAAAAAACATAGCTAGAGAGTGTGTTTTGATTTTGCCCATTTCAATTAAAGTCACAAGGATGAAATTTTTAAATTCCTATTTACAACAATATAGCAGGCAGGGCTGACCAGTTAGCTCAGTTGGTTAGAATACAGTGTTGGTGGGCTGGCCCGATGGTGCACTCGGTAGAGTGCGGCACTTGGGAGCGCGGCAGCGCTCCCGCCGAGGGTTCGGATCCCATATAGAAACCGGTCCGCTCACTGGTTGAGCGCGGTGCGGGCGCGACACCGAGGGTTGCGATCCCGTTGCCGGTCGCGGTACGGGCGCGACACCAAGGGTTGCAATCCCGTTACCGGTCACGAAAAAAGACAAAAAGGAAAAAAAAAGAATACAGTGTTGGTAACACCAAAGTCAAGGGTTCAGAACCCCATGCCAGCAGCCAAAAACAAAACAACAAAAATAAACAAACAAATAAATGAAGCAGGAAATCTCAGTGATAGGACTACTGAACAAATCTAACTAAGCACTTAAAGTACTGTTAACTCTGAGTTCCCCGCCCCAGATTGCTCTTTCCAAATCAATTTAAATGAGCCCAGGTTTAATGTATTGGTACATACTGGAAAGACTGTCTTACGCTATGCCTCTGAATTATAAATTTGTTGGAATGGAAACTGTGCCTTATTTCTGAATAGTCTTTTCTAAGGATGTAGTTAGATACTGAAACGAGCATAGGTTTCACCACCATTTTAAACCCTACCTAGCCAAATGTTTTCAGCTCTAATCCCTAGAAGACTTGTGATCTTAAGAAAATAGCCCTGAATTTATAAAGCGATTCAGGATTTGAACCAGACTCTGGACATTGCACTCTACCATACTATTCGGCCTCTGTAGACAGCCTTTTCTTGAAACTATTTCTTCCGTGGTCAGCACTTTCCTGACATTTTTTTCCTATAATTTATTTTCCTCCTATTAAGTCAGCATTTCCCAAAATTTTCTCCTCTTTTCTAACTTTCCTCAGAGTACCCATGGTTTATTTATTTAACTACAGACTGTTCAGATAGTATCCTGAACTTCTTAAATCTATAATGGTGTTCTCTACTAACCTTGTTGGTAGAACTCTGACCACTAAATCATGGAGCAGCAAAGAGGGCATGCAGAGAGTGGGGTGTCATTATAACAACAGTAATGAAAAATTTTTAAATGGCTACCCACAGGAGGGGAGGTCACCCCTGCCATGAATTAGAAATTTGATTTTTTTTTCTCCCATGACTAATGTGGCACTTTCAACTGCCTGCTACTCCTGGATATTTATTTACAATTGATCAAGGCACTACTGTTTTCACAGTTTACTGGTCAACCAGGCTCTAACCCCACCCCACCCCACCCCCAAGTCATCCAAAACCAGTACTCTTCTCTATTCATCATATCCGGTCATTTTGTTTCAAATTTGGTCAACTCCTCCTTCAAGATTTTTCTTGCATTCTTCTTTCACTATAGCCCAAACTCTTATTAATGAACATCTGGATTATTACAACAAAATTTCTAATTTCAAGGGTTCAGATCCCCATACCCAACAGCCAAAAAAAAATTTTCTAATTTGCTTCCCTGACTTGGCCTCGGGATCAATTTTCTGAAAGCTCTATTCTGGTCATGACCTAGACCCCTCTTTAAAAATCACTCAATCAAACTTACTGCATGTGGTCAAAACTCCCAGTATTTCAGGTTCCCAACAATCTGACAACCCATGCCGCCTTGTGGCTCAAAGCCAATGAGAACTTTCTACTATCCACTGCATTTTCCTTCTTTTTTGATTCTGCTCATGCCATTCCCTTCCCCTGGAATCCCATCCTGCCTCCCTTAGAATTGCCTGTACAAAACCAGGATCCATTCAAATATCTACTTCATAAAATATTTCTAAAAGCACTGCTCCCTCTGGAAAGGAAAATCTAAAACAGAGGATGCAGAAATGGAATGGAATCTATAAGATTCAATTTTGGGGGTAGAGTACTTTTTGAATCTGTATTATGCTCGTAAAATTTAAAAGGAAGTAGAAGATAGAAAAACAAATTGAGAGGAAGAACACTCTGTTTGATTTTGGAAAAAATGAATGTGAGATGCCTGAGATGTCCAAAAGACCTTGAACTCTGTAGTAGAATCAAGATAAGGAGACACAGATTTGTAAGTGAATCCATAGTTACAACCAAAAACTGAATGAGGTTACCCCAAGGCAGAAATCTAGAAGGGACGAACTTAAGAGACAGTAACAAAGACTCAGCACACATTGGACAGAAGGATACAGGAAGAAAGAGAAACAGCACATGGTTAATCCCTAGCCCAAATCTTTCACCTAAACTCAAACTGAATGACTAGCTTTCTCCCCTGGATACACTGCTGTCACCACGTTCACTGTATCTAAAATGGAACTCGTATTAACCTCCAGTAAGTTAATCATCACTCTCACCTCCCCTCCATTTCCATCTCCTGGGGAAAACATGTTAACAGCCTAGTGTGTTTCCCTCTACACCTCTCTCCACATTGAGACAAACATATATTCACATATACTAGGGTACTTCAAAAGTTCATGGAAAAACAGAATTAAAAGATAATACGAATCTTCCTATTAATTTCCATCATTATGTGGTGAGGGAAGGATTACCTTCTGGCTTTTACAAAACTAGAATCCTACCTTATTCTGAAACATGCATTTTTCTCAATATATCTACACAAACAAACCTGTGGTAAGTAGATTAGGTCATGGCTTCTAAAAGCTGCATGATGTTTGAAAGAAATGGATGACTTCCAATTTTTTGCCTTTATAAACAATGCAAAAACAACTTTCTATATTTATGCTTTTATCCCTATTGGACTTACAAAATCTCAGTTGTTTACTTAAACTGACACATGATAAAATATGATTTCTTTAGAGAAAATTACTACATGTACTAAAGTCACATCAGGATAATGGCAGAGAGGACAGTAGAGAAGACAATGAATAAAAGGGTGGGACCACAGGGTTTATATTTGCTAATAATGAGGGGAGCAGAGTTGTATTGTCAGACAGCATGAACTTCAGAGAGGAGTTTTGCACAAAGATGGAGGAATAATGGCTAGTTAGGATGACTTAGTATAATCTATCATCTAAACCAGAAAACGTTTGTGTGAGAAGGGTATTAGTAACTACACAAAGACAATAGGAGCAAACCAGGGTGAACGGTCACCCTGGTAAAGGACAGAAGAGGCATGTGAATACAGGAAGTTGAAGACCCTGATCCTGCCACACCTATCACGGTGCAGGAAAATATATGGTAACCCCCAAGGGCTAAAGGGAAGGTAAAATTACCAGGGCAAGATGGGCTTCAGTTAGCTTAAGAAGGCTGAAAAACATCATAAGAACAATTTAACACAATGGAGAGGTTTTAACACAAAAATGGTAATTCAGAGAACTCAGTAGAAAGTCTTGGAAAGAAATGAAACCATGAGAGATTGCGACAAGGGAAGAAGAAACTCTGAGTGGTATGAAGATTAGAGACAAAAAAGAATGAATAACCAGATGGACTTCCATTCTGAACGACAAATGATGACAGGAACACATGGAATAGTGGAATTAACAGGCCTCAAGAACTGAGAGAACTAGTCCCGGCATCTCTGAAAAATAGGAGCAAGCACTCAAAACTTTCAGGAAGGAGTCACAAAAGGACATAAAGTGCTGCTGAGAAAATATGAGCAAAATATTGTTAGTTCTGAGACCACCCTATTAGCATATCTTTTTCATGCTGAAAGCAAATGTGACAGAACAGATAAGGCTCTCACCTCTCTCCTCTGGCCTTTTCTCTTCTTTAGCTATTCCAATTCTAAGGATAAGAATTTCAAATAAAGGTCTATACACAAATTTTAAAGAGAGGTGACATAAAAACAGCTGAGAAAATATCTCTACATATCTGATATTTCAGAGCTTGTCCAATACTCAAAATTCCTTATAAGTGAATTCACGTAGTGTAATGTAGTCCTAATACAATTAATACAAGGAAGTCTGTCTTTGTCAATTAATTGCAACTGTGTGATTGACATAATCTGGCCTTCTTCTAAAGAAACTCTGAGCTAAATTTAGCCCTTGCTATCAATTATCTTATCTCTGATTACTAGTATAATTCTTTTACTCTCTATGTTTTTCTATAGTTTTCCTAGCTTCTTTGTCTTTAGTTTATTCAGCTCCTCTTTGGGGCCTCATTTAGCACTCTGTGTGCATGTGAGTGCATTTTCAAACAAGGGGAGAGAAAGAAGAAATCTAGCTTTCTTATTGTTGGGTTTGCAACAAAGAAAAAGTAGAGTCTGGCCTTTCACTTTTAGTCTGCCATTTTCTCACAACCTGGCACAGCACAGAGGGGTGCCAGACAACTCCTGAGCTCAGGCAATCACTATCAACATGAAGGAGCTCCAGATCAATGTGTTAAGTCCCATCTGGACAAACACAGCAAGAAGAAGCTGACGCAGAATCAGAATCCAGTTTGATTGACTTTGAAAGTGTTTCCCAATACTATTTCCCAGAAAAAGTATTGGTATATTGATTAGTTACCACCACTATTCTACTAACAATTCTAAACATATATACACATGCTCCAACTCATGATGGGATATACCCACTGTAAGTTGAAAATATCCTAATAAATCAAAAACATTTAATACTCCTAACCTACCAAACATCATAGCTTAGCCTAGCCTACTTTAAATGTGCTCAGAACATTTAACATTAGCCTACAGTTTAGCAAAATCATCTAACAAAAGCCTTTTTTCTGGGGTGGGGGGCAGGGGGGACAGCTGGCTGGTACAAGGATCCAAACCCTTGACCTTGGGGTCACAACACCACTCTCTAACCAACTGAGCTAACCAGCCAGCCCCCACAAAGCCTATTGTATAATAAAGTGTTTAATATTCCATGTAATTTATTGAATACTACACTGTAA